AAAATTTCAAAATCTCCAAAATGCTTTAAATCTACAAATGTCACAAAAACCGAATGACTGCACGCATGCGCAACATAATTGCACGCACACTCACGCACCCACACACATGATCATGCATAATTTCGCAATTTATATATATCTATATATACCTATACATGTATATGTACACGTATATATGAAAACATGCAAAATTGCAACAAAAAAAAATTAGAAAAGCGCGAAAGTCGCAATAGATCAATAAACAATTGGCATCGTTTAACCCACGCGCTACGACGGTCCTCCACAGGGCACAATCTCTCGCAGACCGATGGGAACAGCACCGAAGATGGCGAGTCGACCAGCGGCGGCGGTCGCAATCCGGCCACCACCGGCGCCGGCTGTTACCGCAACTATGATCATATGGCCAATTTGAGGAATTCGAATATGACGCATCACGTAAGTTCCAACAGACACGCCTCTGTACACTCTACACACATACATATATGTACAATTTCATACATACATATGTATACGCGATATATACACGGTATATACATAGGTATATGTTGGTGTGTACGTGCGTATGTATGTCTGTATGTATATGTATGTGGCCAGAGCAATTGTTGTGAGTAAATTATGTGTGTTTGTTTGTTTTTTTCCCCACAAAACTAACTTTTTCGTATCTTTTACATGGACTAACTAACATTTCGTTCAAGCATAGCATAATAATAATAAGTATAGAGCTAGTACTGAATGTGTTCAAGTCATCTATGTACTACATATGTATATAATGTATATAAAGGCACAACATATTACCAGTCAACTAATAATGTTTCTTTCCTTCTCGCGAATTCGGCGAACGCGCTCTTGCATAGTTTCGTCCATCTGTACCTGATCAGGAATCAGTTCCTCCATATAGTTATGTCGATACGCCGAATGCCCACCTAACATCCATGACGGCCATGGAGAGCTACAAGCGCGAACAGCAGCAACGTCAATTGCAACAGCAGTTGTTGCGCGAACAACGCGAGAAGCTGGAGCTGGCCGCGCGTCAGGAAGCGGATGCCGCGCTGCTGACAACAGCGGCCGCCACGCTATTAAACGTCGCCAAACCATTGAGCACCACGACGCCAGCCAGCGCCAATGTCGTCGGCGGTGCAGCCACTGCGAATGTTGTGTCCGGCAGCGGCGGCAATGCGGCTGGTTCGGGGTCCACCACAGCGGCCGGCGTAGCGCCAGCAGCATCAGCGTCAGCTACGGCGGCGGATCAGGATACGGCCGCCAATTCGTCACAAGCTGGTGATAGTGTGTCGCTAGTGCCATCCGGTCCACGGCCATTGCAAATGATGATCGCACCTGGGGTAAGTGGAGTTTAGTTCGCACACACACACACACATGCACATATACACAGACACTAATATATAAACGAGCACTTATGCCCACAAACCCATACATAAATTATGGTGATCACATTGTTTGTAGGAGATTTTCTCGATAACCTTATAGAGAAAATCAAATTAATTTGTTACAAGGCAACCAACAGAAAGCATTTCTTTCAACGCACTTTGAAAATCGTATTAAAGTAACTCTAAAAGTCTAGCTAATTCATGCTAACCTTAATATCCATATATATTTTATATTTTTATTTTATTTTAGTAAAATGAGTTTAAGGCTAGTATTGCTCTGTTTTCTGAGTGAATGGTCACTTCTCTGAAAAAGGCTGCACTCCGGAACAGCAGATCTGCTCCTATCTTGTTGACAGCAGCCTCGGCTTGGAAAACATGACAATAGGCAGGAAGTCTGAAGCTGCAATTGATAGAGAGCTCCTGACAGAAACCCCTCCATCAAGCTTCCCCCAAGCTTTAATCCATTCGTAAAGAAGATCACGACCCTTCTCCTCCAACGGCTTCTTCCCATCCCTAGCTCCCTCGTCGGTATACGAGCAAAGAAGGATCCGCTAGAGTTCAGTTTGGCGACTCCATGATCTAAGTGATCCGATAAGAAGACAAAGTGCATTAGGATATCCGAGTGTTCAGATGCGATTCTGTTAAAAACCGAAATTGATAGCCACTTTCGCAGCCGCACACTTTCCGACGATGTCTACGGGCGCTATGTGCAAGATGAAGTGACGTGCCATAGTTATGTGGACCACATGTTTATGAGCCCAACCCGCTGAACGCTCTCGTGTTTTGTTGCAAGAGTGGTCTTTTCTAGAGCCTTCCACCACATAAAGACTCCATATAATATAATGTGCTTGACTATGGTGTCATAGAGCCAGAGGACCACTTACGGTGAGAGACCTCACCTTTTGCTAATGGCTCCTCTACAGCAGTATAAGGCAATCGATTCCTTTTTTGTCCGCTTTTCGATGTTCGCCTACCTTGAAAGCATCCCATCCCGCATGAGCCCTTCAGTGTATGCGGCGGTTACTACGTCCGCTATGTTTTTAACATAGGAATCTGCTGACGACAACCTTACCCCACGGTGCTCAAAAGCACAGCGGCTCAAATCAATGCACTGGTCAGCGCCCTGAGAATGCTAGGCACCACCTTGGTCGTGTTCGAGGCCCATCTAAAACCTCTGCCGTGCTATGGATTCGGCACACAGTTGCAATGCAACTAAACAACTCCGCAGGCTACATACGGATGTCTCCCATTTACGGCAGTTGGTCGATTTTACTTGGGTTGATGGTGAGACCACTTCCGATCGCCCAATTTGTTGCGACAGCTCGTACACGGTACTACATTGAAAAGTATCTAAATATTGATATTGATAGTCGTGGTTATCGTCCGTTAATGTCGTATAACTGTGTAGGGAAGAATATAGAAATACTGTGCTGTAAAAACATGTCGAACAAACCTCTAATATGACACGACCTGGCATGTTCATTGAGAATATATCAAAATTCTGCAATTATTTTCTTGTAAAACGAAATTTCCTAGTTCGTTGGAAGGACTGCTACCTTGGTCCACAAACTAGCTATAAAAATATACTAATTTTATTACTCGAGTCGATTGCTCACACACAAACGTCCGCTGTAGTCTCATGTGAAGCAGCCGCTACGTCCTCCCACAGAGATGAATTGTTTTATTTGAATTGCTTTTGCTTCGGTACTAATCTTCGACATTGTCGGCAAGTTGCTAAGCTAGCACCGGCATCGCTCTCAGAATCATTGCATTTACTGAGCGCCCCATGTCGACGAGATAATAAACCTCTGTTTACCTGCGTACCTGTGGGTTTTGAATCGATGATATCTGTTTTTGGAATACTCTTGAGAAAGTACCATATTATTTTTCCAAATTATTTTTCACAAACCAACTTCTTGACCAATCAAAAAAATTAATTTAATTAAAATAACGGTTTACTGTAATGTTCGGCTTGATATACATATCATCTTGCTGTATCAAAAGTCGCGAATTTGTACCAAATATAAAATTCATTTAACTCATCTCTAGTTATTCAATAAGAACGAGACAACGAGACTATAAGAGTAGTAAGGAACTAAGAGAACTTTTTACACGGTTATCGAGATTTCGCCTTCAACAATACACATACACATTTATATAGACCCACAAGCAAAATTTTGTAGTCACTATAGTTTCTAACATCCGCCCACCTCCTTTATTGGTACTTTATAATCGTTTTAGTAATTTTATTTGTTTCAAGTTGAATTATCGAATATGTTTCTATTACTAAATCACTGTGTTTCCCTAATTGTTTTCAGCTAAATTACAATTAATTATGTGTCATAAAAGTTAACTCATACAAACTTATATAATCACTATGGCATAACCATTTATAACATGATATCAATAACTTAAACTTATTATTTGCAATTATAAATATTTACTTTTAATTGTATACCCATGATATACCCATCTACACATATTTGATCTCTTCTCGGAGAAAGTTTTTCATACACGCGGTGTCTAGTACGACTCTTCGCAGTGCACTCACTGCAATTATGGTATGCTAGTTGAGTCTTCGCACTCCTCTCGTGCAACAATTGGTTGCCATGCCAAACTTGTGAACTTTCATATGTCTGAATGGGTGTTCATTCACGCCCAGTCAATTTTGCACTTGCCCGATGTCTTCGGCTACGTTTCAATTGTATTTTTATTCGTTCGCGTGATAATCAGATGATTAGCTGGCACGCAAACTCGCCTTCATGTCAGTTGCCATTGAACTTTTATTATGTGCTTTTAACGGCATTTTAATTGTGGTTCACTTTGCTAACTTTTTGAATGGCATGTAATGCCATTTACCATAACAAAAGGGAGAGGTACTTGTTTTAAATTTTTGGCTCATTTAAAAAACACAAAAATTTTGTACAAAAAAATCGGTGTATAATATCCATGAGAGATTTCCATTCTTTAAACTCTTTTCAATTTTAAAGGGGATCACTTTGAAGTTCCGACATAGATTTTGAAGAATAGTTTAAGAATTATGAACAAAGTCTTACTGTTTTTTGCTCATATTAGTAAGCTTTCCGTCGAAGAAAACACCCTCTAAAGTGGAGTTCAAAGTCTGGGAATATTAAAAAATTATCGATTGAAGTATTTCACACTTCCGAAATAATGTGGCAGTTGAATAATGGTCTCTCTATCTCTCTGCCATGTATCTCAAGTATTTCTTCAATGTTTCACAGAGCTACATGGTGAGCACCACAACTGCACGATGAAATTATATTCCTCTCATAAACAATTGTTTCTCTTATATAATTTACATACATTACATAAAGGTATTTGTTGTTTTTTTTAAGCTTTTTATAGTACAAATTATATATATTTACACTTTATCAACTAAGCCAAATAATTAGATGTTTTTGTAGATATTTAGTAAACTCTGTAATAATGTGTTTCATTTCATTGATGTTTTTCAATTATGTATACATTATAAATTAGTTATACATCTCTACATCTATTGAAATACACCACTTTACAAGAACAAATGTTAATAACCACTTTAATTACAAATACAATACAACTACAACTACAAATTAACAAATACTGCAAACAACTATAACATAACATAACATTTCTTAACCCATACCAGACCTTACGGGGAAAGAGTAAGGAGGTACAAAAAAGATTATCAAACATTTCACTTATTAATTTGCGTAACTTAATTTTTTATATTCTTTCATATACCGTTTCTTAAACAGTGAATGGGTTTTGCAAATTTGTCTTGACTCTTTAGTGGCTGCAGCATTCCTTTAGCTACATAAATGCTCATGTTCTTACGAAAATCGTGATTTGCAACAGCAAGAATGAAAACGCAGCTAATTAATTCATAATTATCAATTTCATTTCACTCAAATTGTGCGTGAATCAATTTTAAAGAAAAATTTAGCTTTTACTATCTAAAGTTTTGCATTGAAATAATTAAAGAAGTAAATATTTTGTTAAAAAAAAAGTAAATATTTTGTTAAAAAAATTTATAAGCATTTTTTCATACTGACTAATAAAATAAGTTCTTTAATTTTAACATAATAATTAATAAATAATTTATACTTAACTTGAAAAGTCAATTAAAAACCTATTAGAATCCAAGTAGTGTAAGTAGCAAAAACTATGGTGCTTAATAATTATTATTTATATAGGTTGTACTATATAACATACAAAATCATCTCAACGAACTAAAAAATAAATTTCTATAATTTATTTCGATTTTCTTATTACTTTCGATAAAATTTTTTAAATGAAAAACAAAAATAGAAATGCATGCTGCCTACTTTTAGGCTCTCTTATATTTTTCATTACAATTCGATATTTTCGGTTAATAATATCAGCATTGACAGTCTTTTAATCATAAGAAATTAAAGACCAATGGATTTATCTCCGGATTTATATCCGAATAGTTATGTGATAATCAAAATCGCCCAGCAGATTTCAGCAATTAGTCTAAGTGTCTTCGTGCGAATGTACAAGGTTCAATTCATTTCTATACTATTATAATCATAGGAAATAACGCTATTTGGTAAAATAGTCCATGCTCCATTTATAAAGGGTGATCCATTTCCAGGTTTCCTGCTTTTTTAAATAAAAAAAGAGAAACTTCAAATGGTCTGTCCATTGAATCCAATCTGTGATGACTTGTTCGAACATTTCGGCTGGTGACTGGTGGACTTTACATATCCCCACAGGTAAAAGTATAACGACGTCATATCACGCGGTCTTGGTGGCCTATCGACCTGCCTAAAACGTGAAATTATCTGTTTTCCGAATTGTTTTCTCAATAAATGCATTGATTGATGCGCTGTGTGGGAAGTGGTGCCGTCTCGATGAAACCAAGTGTCGCCGAGATCACGAGTTTCAATTTCAGGCATCAAATTGTTGAAATTCAATTCAATTGTAAAGAA